TGGGTCACTAAACAACAAAACAAGATATGTGAGAAAAACAAGATGTTTATCAGAGTGTGCTCAGCTGTTGTGGGCTGTTGAAAACAAGTCTCTTGTCAGAGTATATGGCCTGAAATGGCTGCAAAGATGATAGCCGCTTTCTGCTAAGAGTTGGCTCCCAACAGAGGTAGAATCTTGCTGGAGGAAGTGTATCACTGTGGGCAGGCTCAAGTACTTATGGTCTCTTATGCTTCCTGTTTGTTGTCTGCTTCCTGATTGCAGTTGAAGACAGGAGCTCTCAGATTATTTCTTCTTCCACAATGCCTGCTGCTTGCTGAATGCTTCTCCACCATAATTGTCTCTTATCTCTCAGAAAACATAAGCCAAGATAAATTTTTCCTTCTATAAGTTGCCTTGGCCGAAGTATTTTTTAATTAAATAATTTATGCATTTACTTTACATAAAGTAGGGGCTGGTGAGATGGCTCAGCAGTTAAGAGCACTGACTGCTCTTCTAGAGGTCATGAGTTCAAATCCCAGCAACCACATGGTGGCTCACAACCATCTGCAATGAGACCTGATGCCCTCATATGGGTGTCTGGAGACAGCTACAGTGTACTCACATATAATAAATAAATAATCTAAAAAAAAAAAAAAGTACTTTACATAAAGTAAATACATGGTCAAAGTGTTTTACCACAGCAACAGAAAAGTAACTAGTTCAGACAATATAGATCAACACAATAGCTTATGGTCAGAGAAGAAACAGCATAGGCATTCCCTGTGGTAGCAAGTATATATATATTTGTATGTGTATTAAAAAGTTTGCAAATTTGAACTATGTTTCCAAAGATGGCTTACCTTGAATAGGGAGTGAATGGGTTCATCAAGAAGATTGTAATATTTATCCTTTCAATCATCCAATATTTATACCAATAAAGTCACAGGAGGTGTAAACTGAAGTAACAACATTCTAGCTCAGGGAGGTTCTTTATCTTCTTAACTATATACAAAAAGTCACTTTCAAGCCTGACTCTACAACTAAACTACTAGCCCTTTAGAAATCTCTATCTGTGTCATTCTACAGAACTAGTCTACATTTCTCTTGAGCTCCTCTAAAGCTGAGGGCCCTGTTGCTCTCTTTCCTAGAATACTGTTTTACCTGTGCCAGGCACTTTCCTTCTCTGTAGTTCCTGCAAGCCCAAAGACAAAATCTCTTTCTCTTACCCAGAGGTTCTTCCATAAGACTCTTCCAAGTCAAAAAAGAGAGCTCTCAACAGCCCCATTGCTGTCAGTCTCTAGCTCCTCCCCTACACCCTTGGCAGGCTGAACCATGTCTTCATCATGGTGGGGATGCTTGAAGCCAAGTCAGTAGGGACCAAACCATTTCACCTTTACAGTAGGGTAGCTCAAGGTCACCCAGCCTAATTTACCTCCAGTCGTAGAGCAAAGACCATGAGACTTCTCCCAAGCAACTTGCCTTAAAATAGGGAGGAGCTTTCCATTCTTTAGCATTCTTATCTATAGAGGCTTTGGAGGCTCACCCAAACTGCATCCCTACTGGACACACCAGCTGCATCTGACATCTATTTAAGCCTTTGGATTTTGTTAACAATAGGTTTTCTTTTTACAATAGTCAAATATCCTGTTACACAGGATAGCTTTGTTATACAAATCCCACTTTCTTCCTAACAAAAATATTAATTTTAGTCAATTATGTAAGTTCACCAATTAAATGTGGTAACTTTCCACTTGTGCTGGGAGTGTTGCATGCCATTTAGTCCCCACGATCATCTCCTTATCCAGTCATAGCCATGTCGTGGCACTTAGGGACTCATTGCTAGAGCGAGGCTACTCGTTCAGGCGTGGCTGACCTCAGAACTCACAGAGCCTTTGACTTTTTTTGATATTGTGTATGCAAAGTCACAAGTCCTGACATGGTTACCTTCAGATGAAAGTGGCTCCAAGTCCTGTCAGTCATCCTTATGAATATGTCCTCAAGACTTTCAAATGGTATCGATCTAAAATCCAGATCCTGGTTTTGCAGCTCAAAGTCCTTCACGATGCTGAGTTCTGGGTGGCACGGAGGATACACTAGGAATGCTAGTTAACTTTATGTGGTAGGAGAATAAAGAAAGGACAAGATCTTGAGTGGAGGGTACAGTCAGCTGTGAGGCTGGGCCCTTGGGAGAGGTGATCGTGGGTGTTTACGGAGGGACCAGGGCTACCAGTTCCTCCTTCTGAGTGTGTATGTTCCTGTGCACTCCATACAAGATCAATTTCCCAGTTGTGTTCCTTCTCTGACCCTTTCCTGAAAGAAGTCTGTGGTGGTTTGAATAAGAATGACCCTCATAGGCTCATAGATTTAAATGCTTAGTCTTTAAGTGATACTAGACAGGATTAGAAAGTGTGGCCTTATTGGAGGAAGTGTGTCCCTGGGGGGTGGGCTTTGGGTTTCAGGGGCTCAAGCCAGGCCTAGTATCACTCTCTCTTCCTGCTCCTTGCTAATCTGGATCTAGAACCTCAGCTACCTCACTGGATCTAGAACCTCAGCTACCTCACTGGCACTGTGTCTGTCTGCGTGCTGCCCTGCTTCCCGCCGTGATGACAATGGACAGCCAGCCCCAATTAAATGTTTTCTTTTAAAAGAATTGCTGTGATCATGGTGTCTCTTCACAACATTAGAACACTGAGTAAGACAAAGTCTATTCTGGAATTGTCTGCTACATATAGAACTATTTTCCCTTCAAGGGTCTTTTCTCTGCTGACCAACTTCAAGTTGTTATTACTAAGGGCCCAGCACCCTCTGTGGGGCAACAGCCAGACCTCGGATGAGTGAACTGGACAGGAAGAGCATATTTAAAACACATGCTATCCACATGTGCCCTAGTTTGCTTTCTGTTGCTGTGATTAAAGTCCTGAACAAGACCAGCATGGGCAGAAAGGAGTTTATTTGACTACACATCCCAATCACTGTCCATCATGAGAACAGGAAGAACAGGGCAGGAACCTTGAGGTTGGAACAGAGTTAGAAGCCATGGAAGAAAGCTGCTTACTGGCTTGCTTCTCATGGCTTGCTGGGTTTGCTTTTAGTACAACACAGGACTCCCTGCCCAGGGCTGGCACTGCCCACTGTGGGCTGGGACATTCCATATCAATCATAAATCAAGAAAAATGTCCCCATAGAACAATATGAAGGAAGCATTTGAGGTTCCCTTTTCCCAGGTGACGTTAGCTTGTGGCAGTTTGACGGACTAACATCTGGCCAGCTTTCTGCCACTGCAGCAAATATCCAAGACAGTAAGCTCATAAAGACAAAGGGTTATTCTGCACCTCAGTTTTGGGCTATGACTGATTGGCTCTGTTGCCCCTGGGCCTTGTTGCAAGGTGGCATACCATGGTGGGAACACATGACAGAGCAAAGGAGAAGATGTGCCTAAATCCCCAAAGGTCTAGATTGGGAGTGATGAATGCCACTTAGACGTATTGGCCAGAACACATACATCCATGTGACCAGGACTAATTCAAAGGGGGATAGGAAGTCTATGTCTCAGACAGAGTCCCAGTTCTGTAAGATGACAAGATGGCTCCATGTTGTCCCATGTCTTGCATCTAAGTAAAGGCAGCTGGAAAAGCTAATGACTTTCCACAGCTCAGCATCAGATTGGAGAGTTCTGTGTTATTTTTCTGTGCCACTGCTCACCAAGACAAACGGGACAAGAGCAGACCCATTAGTGCAAACCTGATTTCCATTCCCCATTGTTAGTCTCTCTAGACTTTCAGAAAATGGTGCCCGAGGAGGGAGGATGAGTTTCATCACTAAGAAAAGGAATGATGTACAGAAGCCAAAACAAACAAACAAAAATGATGTAGTGTTGAGCTGGGGTTGTGCTCAACTGATAGAACGCTTGCTTAGCAAGCCCAAAACCCTGGGTTCGATCCCTAGCACTAAGCAAATCCAGGGTGTGTCAATGGTACAAGGGCAGAGAGGGAGGGAGGGAGCGAGGGAGCGAGGGAGGAAGGGAGGGAGGGAGGGAGGGAGGGAGGGAGGACCTTCACAGTGTTCTCAGTAGATAAGGAGAGCGGGGTGGAGAGAGGCCCCACGGTGTCACCTTCCCCCGCCCCCGCCCCCCCGAAAGCTAATTAAAAATGTGAAGTTTGGGGTTTTCTGGGGGCATTTAATGAGTGGAGTGTTGAGATGATCATAGTACCAAAGTTGGTTTTCTCAGGCTATCAGGCAAAGGAACAAAAATCCTTTAAAGAACAAATCTGCCACCACTTAGAAGGGAAAGCTGAGGTCCAGCGAAGGGCGAGTGGCAGAACGCTGGAGAATTGCAGGACCTGTGAGGAGTCCAGGGCTTCCCTGGTCCTGTGTGGAACTGACCCAGGCAGAGTCCAGAGGAGCCCTCCCTTGGCACTGCACCACCGCGGGCTGTTGATGACTGTTTGACAGCCCTGACCCGGGAAAACCAACAGCGAGCAGATCGGAACGGAAGCACAGCTTCACTTGGACACAGGCTAGGACCTTAGAACTTTAGTTTTTATTTATTTTGAGACAGGGCTTCGTGTAGCCCAAGCTGGCATCGAATTCACTAAGTACCCGAGGACGACCTTGGATACCGGATCTTTCTTCCTCTATCTAGTACTGGGATAATAGGCGTGCCCGATTTTTACCAGACCCTGATCGAACCCAGGGCTCAGCGCTGGCTAAGCAAGCATTCTACCAACTGAACTGTATCCCCTGCCTGGATCTTTTGTTTAATCCACCAAATCTGATTTTGAACTAGGTGGAAGACCCAGACAGAGGGCGGAAAGGGATATTTGCGGGCTCTGGTGCAGCTGGAATCATTTCCCTTGGTCTCTCCAACGCAGTTCGCTACTACTGAAGCCACATCTGCGCCCCATGCCACTGGCCACTCGCTAAGTGGCGGGCGGGGCGGGCCCTGCTTGGGAGCTCCAGCCGCAGCAGCCCGCAGACCTGCCCCGAGCGCCGCGCGGAATCACGGTCGTGGGCGGGGCTCCGGCGGTGGGCGCGGCGTCCGGGTGGCGGTCGCCACTCGGGTGGTGGCGCGGGCGCCCAGGGCAGACACTAGGGTGATCCGGAGGCGCGGCCCTGGAATTAGGCGGACAGCGGGGCTGAGGCTGGGGCTGGTGCAGTGTGCGCGCGGGGCCGCCGTGCCTTGGACCCGTGTGGCAGCTGCCGGGAGCGCTGCCCTTCGCCATGTACACCTTCGTGGTGCGCGACGAGAATAGCAGCGTCTACGCCGAGGTCTCCCGGCTGCTGCTGGCCACCGGCTACTGGAAGAGGTTGCGGCGGGACAACCCCAGGTTTAACCTGATGCTGGGGGAGAGGAACCGACTGCCCTTCGGGAGACTAGGTGAGCTTTTCCCTCGTGGCAGCTGCGCGCACGAATCGGAGAGCCAGCGCTTTTGTTTTTTAAGGTCATTAATCTTCCCCAAGCAGGAGCTCGCTCTAGCAGATCTAAAATGGGTCCAGCAAGACCTAAACTCGTAGCTGGATTCGGAACGGAGTCTGGGTGCGGTTGCCCTGTCTACTGACAGTGACCTATCCCTGCACCCGGGGTGTCGGCCTGGTTCCCCAGGTTCCCTTCAGTCATCTTGCAGCTTTCCGCCACCGAGGATTCAGCCCTGTGTGGTGTGGGCGTGGAGGGGGAGTTGTTGTTGAAACCGTGGATGCTTGTGTTACCCGGAGGCCCAGATGAACCGGCTTGGAATCTGGGGAAAACTCACTGACTTACCCAAAGCAGAGCTTCCTGGGGAGCTGGGGAGTGGGGAGCTGTTCCATTTCAGACCTTTCCTTTAGCTGCACCAAAAGTGTGCGTTTGCAACTGTGCATCTAGTGATGTTTTCTTACACGGTCTTGGTGACTTTTGCTCTCCTCATCCACATAGGCGAAGCTGGTTTGGTACCACTCAATTCGCATACTCTCATGTAGGAAGGGACAAAAACTCCCTTATAAATGACGTAATCTAGAAGTTGTCCTGATGGGTTCAACTAATATTCCACAGATTTGAACTTGATCTCATGGTCCCCTCACTGCATAGTCATGGGGGGGGGAGGGTGCCTCTCTCTGGGTAGCTCGTTATTTTACAGAATTTCACTTGGGGGTGGGATCATTTATATTCCAAGGACAGAGGGGAGGGGGACACCTTTACTTTAGAAAATACTCCAGAGAGTAGTGTCCCATGTCCTGAAGAGGGGAGGTTTTTTCAGAAATAGGTGTGGTCAGAGATGGATGTGGCTACACTGAAAGCAATTTGTTTGGAACTGACTATTTGGCAAGCTTGCATAGGGCATTTGGGTGACATTATAGCCATACCAAGCTATGATGGCTTATGGAATGAAGTATGTTAAGGCTTAATCTTACTGAAATAGTTGAGGGACAACTTTTCATTATTACACAAGTTTATACTCTAACATGGTGATTCCATAGAGTGGTGTTGGAAATCACAGAATAGAAAATGTGCTTGGAGCCGGGCGGTGGTGGCGCAGGCCTTTAATCCCAGCATTTGGGAGGCAGAGGCAGATGGATTTCTGAGTTCGAGGCCAGCCTGGTCTACAGAGTGAGTTCCAGGACAGCCAGGGCTACACAGAGAAACCCTGTCTCGAAAAAGAAAGAAAGAAAAAAGGAAGGAAGGAAGGAAGGAAGGAAGGAAGGAAGGAAGGAAGGAAGGAAGGAAAGAAAGAGAAAAGAAAAAAAGAAAATGTGCTTGGAAACTGATGTTCTTGTGGTAGCCAGATTCCTCCAGAAGGGCTCAGCAAAGAAAGTCCCACAAAACTAAGTTCCCTGTGAGGAGCACAGGAGCGACTGACTAAGTGGTTTCTCCTTACTTTATCACTTCCTTTCCTGACTTTCTGCTCCTCCTGGCAGTTGACAATGCCTGGTGGTAAGAACTTAGGTAGGACACACCAAAAGGCTCCACTCAGCCTGGGGTGGTGGTAGCTGGCCTTGTTGTTGTGCTGACAGGCAGAAACCCTTTGGGATCCCAGTCCTGAGAAGGCAACACGAATTTTGGAGATGACCAGTAGACATTTAATTTTTATGGAAAAGACAGATGAATCATCTAATTAAAATGGTTCCACGCTCTTGCTGTTGGGAGTATTCTCTTTTTGTCTAAAGTGGGCTGCATAAAACCCAAGGAGAAAGCATGGAGAGTCAGGTTCAGATGCTAGAAGGCCGCAGCCAATGGGATTCGAAGGTACCAGGTCAACAGGGACTTGGGCCTGTCTTCAGGGAGATTGTGCAAACCAGATAAATGTCTAAAAGCTCTGATTTGATGGTGTGCCATGGTTGGATTAATTATTGGTACTTTTAACACCCAACTCAAAGTCTCTTTTTAAAATCTTACTTTTTGTTGCGAAGTATTTTGTTAGGGGTTAATTTTTTTTATTTTTATTTTATTTTATTTATTTATTTATTTTATTTTTTTGTTTTTTTTTTCGAGACAGGGTTTCTCTGTGTAGTCCTGGCTGTCCTGGAACTCACTCTGTAGACCAGGCTGGCCTCAAACTCAGAAATCTGCCTGCCTCTGCCTCCCAAGTGCTGGGATTAAAGGTGTGCACCACCACTGCCCAGCGCATCCCTTCCTTTGAAGGGACAACTGACCAAGCTAGCTCAGTCAGTCGACAGGTTCTCCTGGGCAGGAGTGAGGATTAAAAAGAAAACAGACAATTAGACAACACTGTAGCATGACCCAGCCAGTTCTGAGGCTGAGGTGGGTTTATAAACCTCCCAGTCTGCTTTTATACAATTTTAATTAAATGCAGGTAATAAGGTCAGTTCTAGGTTGAGGAACAAACAAGGCCTGTGCCTCCCAAGTGCTGGGATTAAAGGCGTGTGCCACTATTGCCCAGCTAAATTTTTTTTAATAAACATATTTTTCTAATCATTTATTTGTATTTATTTCATTTTATCATTGTGGTGCTTGAACCCAAGGTGATGCTTGAACCCAAGGCCCCATACATGCTGAGGATGCACAGTGCTACAAAGCTATACTCTAAGTCCCCAGTTCTGGTTTTAAAAGGGTTTCGTTGTAAGAACTATTGAGGTGCCTCCTTGTGGGATAGTGCAGAGAGGTCTCAAGCTTCTGATGGTCTTCTCACTCCCTCTTTTCACTTCTTAGAAGCTTCTAGAAGCTCCTTGAAGTAGATGACCCATGCTCTGCTGCCTTCTTTGATATTTGGAGAACGTGAGGTCGGGGCTGGATATATGGCTAGATTCAAATAGCTTTGCTCAACAGGTTACAAGCTTATGTGTGTTAAGCCCAGAGAGGACTATGCTAAGGGTCTAGGAGATATGAGATAGAAAATACCCAGTGACCTTCTAATAAGAAAAAGAGAGCCAGGCGGTGGTGGCGCACCCGCCTTTAATCCCAGCACTTGGGAGGCAGAGGCAGGCGGATTTCTGAGTTCAAGGCCAGCCAGGTCTACAGAGTGAGTTCCAGGACAGCCAGGGCTACACAGAGAAACCCTGTCTCAGTCCTCCCCATCCAAAAAAAGAGAGAGTCGCATTACAGCTGGCCTGCAGGTCAGTGTTAATGTTTCGGTATTGAGAGTAGATACTGAGAGAAAAAGGGACAGAGAAAAGTACTCCATGTTTGACAACCAGCCTGAAATGAAAGACGGGGGAGCTGGCACGACACATCTGTCCTGCACACTCTGCTACTAACATTGTCACTCCGCACCTGCTGTTTCCCTTCTGAGTCTCTTCTTTCCTTGTAGGTCACGAGCCTGGGCTGGTACAGCTGGTGAATTACTACAGGGGGGCAGACAAACTGTGCCGCAAAGCTTCTTTAGTAAAGTAAGTGTTCCCGAAGACCTCCATTTTTGGTGTTTTGTATACATGCTTTAGCTTTCATCCTGAAGCACTTAAACCAAGATAAGGGATTATTGTAAGGAAAAAGAAAATCTTTACTGTTTTAAAACCAACAGATAGCAGGGCTGTGGCCTCCTCTAGGTTGCTTTTATTACAGTTTAAGGCGTTGCTGTGTGTCTCTTAAAGCCTAATCGCTTCTCGGCCTTTTGGCTAAGATCAAGTGTAGTGTCTCTTAAAGCCTGGCTGTCTCCTAGGTGAGGCTCCCTAGAAGCAGAGCCTGGCTCTCAGGAAGGGAGTTCTAGTGTAAGTGATTTCTTGGAAGATTTTCAAGGCAAGCCCATCTGTAGTCGAGGGAGGCAGAGTAGGGCAGGGCAAGTTAGGAGCCAAACAAAGGAGTGGTTTTAGCTTACCCCTGGTGTTCTGACATGGATGACAGACACCTCAGAGTTGTTGCATCTTGAAGCTGAGTGACTGAGCATCTGCTACAGTGTCATTCGGGTGCAGTTCTACTTTTTCTTGGCATTTGCTCATCTAGAAACCTTCCCATCCTCTCTAATTGTAGGGAGAGGGTGGGCTGTGGGATAAGTTGCCAGGCATTTCTGGTCCCAGGAGAAGAATGTACAAGCCTTCCTCAGAAGACTCTCAAGCAGCTAGGGATCCCTGAGAAGATATTCAGACAGAATGCAACAGGGTCATCTCCACCACCCATCTCTGAGCCCATAAGAGTATGGCTAGATATCGCAAGGATGGTACTATAAGGTAGAATTGAATAGTATACAGTGACTGAGATCCAGAGTCAACAGCTTGGGGTTATCCTCAGCTCTTTGAAGAATCCTCTTAGCAGTAAATCTTCTCATCCCTCTAAGCCTGAGTACCTCCCTCGTAAAGCCATTATGAGGATTAAACCAGGTGACATGTAAGAGTGGATGCAGCACCAGGGACTGGTACCTCGTGGGAGTTTGGGCTTTAACATGTGTGGGTGTAATTGTAGTAACTACCTAGTCTCATTGCTTTTATTACTGTCATTTTCAGATGGAAACTCTTGGTCTTGTCCCTAAGATCAGGGCTATGGTAGGTCTCCTGGGTTCTTTCTCCATAATTCATAAGCATGTCTGAATGGTCAAATAGCCTTCAGGTAAAGAGGCACTAGAAGGTGGGATTCCATGCAAAATGCTGTCTTGCTAACACTTCTGTCTTAGTTAGGGTTTTACTGCTGTGAACAGACTAAGGCAAGTCTTATAGGGACATTTAATTGGGGCTGGCTTACAGGTTCAGAGGTTCAGTCCATTATCATCAAGGTGGGAGCATAGCAGCATCCAGGCAGGCATGGTGCAGGCAGAGCTGAGAATTCTACATCCTCATCTGAAGGCTGCTAGTGGAAGACTCCCCTCCAGGCAGCTAGGGTGAGGGCCTTAAGCCCACGCCAACAGTGACACATCTATTCCAACAAGGCCACACCTCCTAATAGTGCCACTCTCTGGGCCAAGCATATACAAACCATCACAGTTTCTTTTGGACTTAAGAGGTTGGGTGCTTCTCATAACATCTCTGTTTTTCTCTGGATGTGCTGGTTCTGGTATCTTTCCCATTTCTCTGGGATGGGTTTTCGTGATTTAGCATCAACTCCTAAAACAGAGTGAGGTTTTCTGAAGTCTTTGTATCCGTGTTCTTTTTCTGTTTGGAGTGTAAATGGCCAGGGCTGGAGAGATGGCTCAGTAGTTGAGAGCACACATACTGTTCTGCCATAGTGTCTGTGTTGGGATCCCTCACCCACATCACACAGCTCACAACCGCCTCTGACTAGCTTCAGGGCATCTGCAGCCTCATCTGGCCACTGTGGGCACCTACACTCATTTGAATGTGAGCATGCCCACACAGACACATAAAGACAAAAGTAGAATTCTGCTTTTATAAGTAGGAAGCAGAGGATGCTATAAAAAATAATAGTGCTTTGCATATTTGCATATTCAACAGCTGTAATGAGTCAGAATACAGGGCTGGAGTCATGACCAGTTCTCTTACCTTAGACAGCACCATCCTGAATCCCAGTGTCCCATTTGGAAAACAGGGTTAGACAATACCCACTCTTTGGCCCACAGTCACATAGGATATTATCTGTAATGGTGCCTTGCAAATGGTGACATGACCTGTGCTGGTGACTGTTGTGACCATTAGTAACAACTTCTGTTGCTCTCTGAGTACTCTGCAAGGTACTGTAGCAGTTCCAGGAGATGCTGGCTCCCTTTCACAGTGTGTATCTCTGCTGTGGTTGTGTATGGGTTGAAGGAATGCTAGAGAGTTAGAAGTGTGCTCTCCCTCATTTTGTGGCTAGAAGTGACAGGAGAAGGAACAGGTTGTCAAAGGTCCAGCATAGAACCCCATGCAGGCTCTGGGAAGCCCTCTCAGGCATGCCTGGCCATACTGTTCTATTTTTACAGGTTAGAACCTTCCTTGTTCAATATGAACTGCTCTAGCCTTGGAATGTATATTATTTGAAAAACTTTTTATGTCCAACATTAACTATTCCAACTATATGTCATCTTATTATCTTAATATTGGATTTAAAGGGGTATTGAACTTACCAAAAAGTAACTCTCAAATTTTTAGTTTGTTAAGCTAACATTCACAACATCAGTCCAAGAAAAAATTTCCACATTTTGTCACATGATAAAAATATGCAAAATCATGATTATTAAGTGTTATGAAATTGGATTAAGTGTTATGAAGTTGGATCATACAAATTATCATACCTGTATGGGTAGATCATAAAGTTTTTTTTCCTTCCTTGAGCTGTAAACTTAGCTCTTATGTGTATAATAAGAATTTATGTGAGATTTTGTATAACGCCATTTAAAAATCTAAAAAAAAAAAAAATGAATGGAATAAGGGCTTGCCGGGTGAAAATAATGACTTAGCAAGTATCTCTATTTCAAGAAAATATTAATTGGAGTTAATACAGGAAAATGCTTTCATCTCCATCAGAGTCCATCCGCAGAGAACATTCATTAAGTTCACTGTCTTCTGTTTGATTTTTTTTTCCCAACCGTTTCCTGAACTGGTGATTCATCATGCCATGACATTTGCAAGTGGATCCTGAGCATTTGGGCAGCTGCAGCCATGATACTTTTTATAGAGTGGGCCTGGGAAAACTGAGAAAGCAAATGTTTCCAGTTTGTATCATCAGGTGCAGGGAAGCAAATGTTTCCAATCGGAACCTTATGCTGCAATGGAGTTTAAAAGGAAACACTAACATCCCACCAAGTCTACATTTTAACCCAGCCTTGAAGTTCTGTCTGTTTTAACAGAAAGTAATTTTTACATGTAGAGGAAATTCTTTGACAGATACAAAATATTAGAAGATTACTATACCATGAAGTCAACATTGTTTAGGTCAGTGGTTCTCAACCTGTGGGTCTCGACCCCTTTGCGGGCCATATATCAGATATTTTGTATACCAGATATTTACATTACATTTCATAACAGTTGCAAAATTACAGTTATGAAGTAGCAACAAAAATAATTTTATGGCTGCGGGTCACCACAACATGAGGGACTATATTAAAGAGTAACTGTATTAAAAGCATTAGGAAGGTTGAGAACCACTGGTTTAGACTGAACTTTGACAATGTTTTTCTGTATAAGCAATACCCAAAGTATTCATTGGAAAGCATCTGCTTATGTCATAGCTTATCTAAAGCTAAAGAGAACTTTAATATTTTAAGATTTTTCAATTCAATTTTGATGTTAGAGTTTGTAGCCAATGGCTACTTAGAGCTTAACTATAAAACTTGAGAAATAACTATCTTAGTTAGGGTGACTATTGACCCCATGACCAAAAACAACTTGGGAAGGAAAGGATTTATTTGGCTTATGCTTCCACTTTGTAATACCTCATGGAAAGAAGCCAGGACTGGAACTCAAATAAGGTAGGGACCTGGAGGCAGGAGCTGATGCCAAGGCCATGGAGTGGACCTGCTTACTGACTTGCTCCTTATGAGTTACTAAGTCTGCTTTCTTGTAGAACCCAATAGACTGGGCCCTCCCACATGCGGCACAGATTAAGAAAATGCCCTATAGGCAGATCTTACCTTGGGGGCGTTTTCTCAGTTGAGGCTCCTTCCTTTCAGATGATTCCAGCTTGTGACAAATTGACATAAAATTGGCCAGCACACTATCATTTCAAGTTTTTTTTCTTTTTTTTTCTTTTTTTTTCTTTTTTTCTTTTTTTTTTTAAAGATTTATTTATTTATTATATATGAATACACTGTAGCTGTCTTCAGACATACCAGAAGAGGGCATCAGATCTCATTACAGATGGTTGTGAGCCACCATGTGGTTGCTGGGATTTGAACTCAGGACCTCTGGAAGTGCAGTCAGTGCTCTTAACCACTGAGCCATCTCTCCAGCCCAAGTTTTTTTTTCTTAAAGTAATTAATTTCATCATCCATTCATGTATGATGGTTTTCTTTTTGTGTAAAAATGATAGCTATTTTAGAGCCGACTGAAGTTACAAGTTTAGGTCTTATTAAAAAGTTGTCAGCTAGTTGGGCGGTGGTGGCGCACGCCTTTAATCCCAGCACTTGGGGGCAGAGGCAGGCAGATTTCTGAGTTCGAGACCAGCCTGGTCGGTTTTTGGAGACAGGGTTTCTCTGTATAGCCCGGGCTGTCCTGGAACTCACTCTGTAGACCAGGCTGGCCTCGAACTTAGAAATCCTCCTGCCTCTGCCTCCCAAGTGCTGGGATTAAAGGCGTGCGCCAGCACTGCCTGGCAAAAAAAAAAAAAAAAATTCTTTAAAGAGTGTTTGGGTTAGGTATTTACAATCTCAGGTACTGATACCATTGATTCTCTCTTGACTGTGGAGGGAAAACTACACATCTGCTTCTTCTTCTTTGCTGGAAATGTTGCCTTTCCAAGCAGACTGCTCTTCATTTTACTATGCCATGAGCAGAGCAGTAGACACTGACTGTGAATTTGTATGACCGTGGGCCACATCTTTTCCCATTATTTCATTTACTTCTTCATTTTCCCCTTTACTCTCCTGGGCCGCTTCTTAGTTTCTGTGCCCCTCTTTCAATTTCTTAATAGCACACCTCTGTTTATAGTTTAAAATTGCCAATGTTTATTTCTTATTAGTATTATTTTATGTGATTGAGTGTTTGACATGCATGTATATGTGTACCATATGCATGCAATGCCCATGGAGGCCAAAAGAGAATGTCAGATGCTCTGGAACTGGAGTTCCAGCCACCATGTGGGTGCTGAGAACTGAACCCAGATTCTCTGCGACATTATGCCTACACGCATAACCACTGAGCCATCTCTCCAACACCAATATTTATTTTTAAAACTAGAAAAATATTCCATCTTAGATGCCTCTCATGGTGTACATAGCTAGCTCTGCCCACTGTATAGTAAATACACAACATTTCATCCATGCATAGACAAAAAGCACTGCTTGAGCTGAATTAATCTGTTGTTCCTGGATAGAACAGCAATGTTTTTGTGTGTACTTCTAGAAACAACACCGGGATGTGATCTGAATGTAGCAATACAATAATAAAGGAAATGCCATCCTGCTAAATCAATTAAGTTGTACTCACTGTAAAAATGTTATACAGTGCATTGGTTTTCTGGTTAAATTTAGATGTAGTTTATCGTTTACTTCCTGAGTCTTACTGGCCACTCTTCAATTGTTCAGTGGTTGCATGTGACCCATGATGACCATAGGGACAGTGGTGTGGAGCTGAACATGCAGGGGGCTAAAAGTGTGTGTGTGTGTGTGTGTGTGTGTGTGTGTGTGTGTGTGTGTGTG